CAAAACACTGTTTTCCTCGGTTCCTGCATTTTGCATAGTTTAGTTTACATACGTCAATAACATGGGAAGAACAAAAACGTGACCCAACAGCCACCTGGACGAGTACTGTGTATCGCAGACTGTTATCTATTTATTTTATATAATAAACAGTTGAAAAATGAGCTAAACCAAGATCGTACCGAAACGTTTTGAAGCATGGGTGGGAAAATAGTGGACCATGCATGGGTCTCAAAATATTTTGTGATCAGCACAAAGAATATAGAAAATATTATCAATGTCAAATCGAAAGAAATAAAACTGCAGTGAGCAGATCAAGTGTATCTTCAACCTCTCGGTCACCCATTCCAACTCCCACTGGAGTGTAAACTAACGTGGACATAATTTGAGCAATACTTTTGCTTCCATAAACGTTGTTTATTCCACTGGAACATAGTATTTGACTCCTTGTCACAATAATACAGTTCAACAGTTACGTACAATTATGAACTGCCGATTCCTCACAGAAAAATAATTTTCCAGTGGACCCAGAAAATATTTTTTCCATCCCTGTGTCTTGAAGCGCAACGGAAAGAGATTTACACGCCAGTCGACATGTTAATAATCTATACAAAATAACGCACGCCATTGGTTCGCGATGCTTCTGAGAGAGCTGTGATTGGGTTAAACATTGTCACTGAAATGGCGTTATCCGTCCGTATGTTCTCTATAATAGAGATGAGGGTTCCCTACACTCTGGTTAATATTTTTCTGGTCAATCTAGAAACAGCCCTATTTGGGTTAACTTAGTATTCCTGGTTAAATTTCGTGATTAACTTGACCAGGACTTCCTGATTAACCAGACTACGTTGGTGGTCAAATAGCCGGGGGCTCTTGTAGTACATCCACCTAGCACAGTCTGGTTATTTTAACAAGGACGACCTGGTCAAATATAACCAGTTTCTGGGTATAAAATAACCAGGAAATTTAACCAGGATTATTGTTATTTGTGTAGGTTTACCAAGAATGTTTTTAGAATGTACCAATAAGGCAATTGGGCAAATCAAACTTGGGTTATCATATCATGTTTTATTGTTTTACAGAAAAGAAACGCCGTGACATGTTAACGCCCGAGAGTTCACCGATTGCAAGGCCGTCGTTATACGGAAGATTACAAAATTGGTTTTTTAACGAAGATTAATGGGAGTAACGAA